ATGTAACACTATTGTCTAGGTGGTATGACGGAAATAAAATAAAAAATAAAAGAACTATTCTCCTACCTGAATAAAAGACGAAAAAGCCTATACAAAAGTCCATATATTTACACATTATTGACCAATTCTTTATGTTGATCTGTCACGAAAACAAAAGGAAAATTGTTTGTTTGGGTTTGCGAGGGAGAGAGTAGTTGAAGCTGTTTCTCAATGATTTTGTCATTGTCTACCATTTATCATGTCTTTGTCGCACTCTAGCAACCGTATCTATTTGTTAAGCACACAACAATATCTTTAGTTTGCCTGCAGCTTAATTAGCATTAATTTGTTGACAATTTCATCAATGGTCAACCAAATAAAAAACCTACGGACGCAAGTGTGTTGCGTAGCTTACTCTGATCAGGTTAATATCTAAATTTATAGAAACATCTTCCGCGTGCGTTTGGTATGGATTTGACTAAATGTAAAATTTATAACACTACTTAACAAAAATCTCATTAAACAACTGCAAACAATCATGAGATAATATCAGTTACATGTATAAAGTAGCCATAGATGGCGAATACAAGAAAAGTCTAACAAGTCTTGTATTCATACGAATCCTAAAGATTAATATATCCATCTAACCCAATATCTACAATTAGTTACCAACTCCATCGTCTTTCTCAAATGTCCACAAAGTCTATCCTATAAATGAGACTCTTTCGTATCACACATAATCACCAAGTCACAAGTAACCGAGTTAAAACCTAACGAGCCATCATCAAGAGAAAGAATCCCAAAAAAGAAAAAAATGGCTAAGTCATTGAACATTCTCATCGTAGCAATCTCCCTCGTCGCTTTATTTCCTCTTTGTTTGTGTTCCAAAGCCTATGGAACTAGCGGCTACCTCTTCCCTCAGTTTTATGACCACTCGTGTCCTCAAGCTCAAGAGATTGTTCAGTCTATTGTTGCTAAAGCATTCGCACACGACCCTCGCATGCCTGCCTCTTTGCTTAGACTCCATTTCCACGATTGTTTCGTCAAGGTATCAATTAAGCTTATAGAAATTTCATAACGTTTTAACTATGGAAATTATATTTCGATCTTTTATAATTTTTTCTCGTTGTGATCATTGGTATTGCAGGGATGTGATGCGTCGATACTATTGGACAGTAGTGGAACCATAATCAGCGAGAAACGATCAAACCCTAACCGAAACTCAGCCCGTGGTTTTGAACTCATCGAGGAAATCAAACATGCCTTAGAACAAGAGTGCCCTGAAACAGTTTCTTGCGCCGATATCTTGGCTCTAGCCGCTAGAGACTCAACTGTCATTGTAAGTCATCACAATTCACCACACACGCAATTATTCGATCATTTTCAATAATTAAAATCCTAATCAATTTTGCAAATGGACATATATCAATACAGACGGGTGGACCGAGCTGGGAAGTACCTCTAGGGAGAAGAGACTCGAGAGGAGCAAGCTTGAGTGGTTCCAACAATGACATTCCTGCTCCCAACAACACTTTTCAAACCATCCTCACTAAGTTTAAGCGTCAAGGCCTCGATCTCGTCGATCTTGTCTCCCTCTCCGGTATACATCCATCCATCTTAATTACACAACACATTTCTAGATGTTCAAAAACTCCTTATAAATCCCATAATGTTACATTAAATTAAAAACGAACAATACGTTAAGCCAACTTATTCTACGTTTATATGATTTGCAGGAAGTCACACCATCGGAAACTCGAGGTGCACAAGTTTCCGGCAGAGATTATACAACCAGTCCGGCAACGGAAAGCCTGATCTCACCCTTAACCAATACTACGCCTCCGTGTTACGTCAACAATGTCCAAGATCCGGCGGTGACCAAAACCTCTTCTTCCTCGACTTCGCGACGCCTTTCAAGTTCGACAACCATTACTTCAAGAACCTGATCATATACAAAGGACTATTGAGCTCCGACGAGATACTGTTCACGAAAAACAGAGAGTCAAAGGAGCTCGTTAAGCTCTACGCAGAGAATCAAGAGGCGTTCTTCGAGCAGTTTGCTAAATCGATGGTGAAGATGGGAAATATCTCTCCGTTGACTGGCGCCAAGGGAGAGATCCGAAGAATCTGTCGGAGAGTTAACCATGCTTATTAATAACATACATCTTTATGAAATATGGTTTGTTTCATGCATTTGTCTGTATTACAGTAATATGTATTGTGTGTTTTTACGTTTACTAAATCTGATTTTGTTTTCAGAAAAAAGAAAAATGGATGTAATGTAATATATTTGAGTGTATGTGGTACAATTTTCTTTATTTTCCCGGCTCAATCTTTCAACGTGCATATACACATAAACGATCATCATATAATTTTTGGATGTAATTCAATCCAAAAGGTTGGGGCTTGTTTATAATTAATTCAAACTAGAGTGGAAATTAATTATTTGCTTGAAGTATTGGGGCTTTTTATAATTAAGTAAAAGTTTAGGGTGTAACTGTATATATTTTGTGATTTAGTGGGCCTGGGATAGTTTTCAAACTCTCTTTTGATTTGGGTCTTAAAAAGGAAGAACACTGAAGACTGAAACGGTGCCGTGTTGAAAGCCGGGGATCTTGTCGGAGCACGGCGAATCTTTCATCAGCTCTATTTTCGTTTCTTTAACTTCCGATTACTTGTGTAATCAATCGGTTTGATTGCATCTAAGGATTCGTTAATGGCGGCGCCGTGGCAGTGGGAAAACGCCACCGCCGGTGCCGTCGCTGGATTCGCCACCGTCGCTGCTATGCACCCTCTCGATGTTGTCCGTACGAGATTCCAAGGTCTGTTTTTTTTTTGTTTAACCGACCAAAAACTCGATTATTCACTCATCGATTTGATTATAGTTTGCTTAATTTGATTGAACAGTCAACGACGGTAGAGGGTCAAGTCTCCCGACGTACAAGAACACAGCTCATGCTGTCTTCACCATTTCCCGTCTCGAGGTTTGTGAGAAGAATCCCTCTTTGCTCTTTTTGTATTCCATATCTCTATGCAATGGGATTGACTCTTCTATGTTCACTTTGTTACTTCATTGATTAGAGGATTTTTGGTTTCTGGGTTTGTGATATCGGATAGGGAAATGAGTAAATATGCAACATTTTTGGTTTATGGGTTTTGTGAGTTATCACCTTCTTTCTCTGCTTGAGCTGATATAACTCAATATTTCTGTTTTAATCTTCCCGTAGGGTTTGAGAGGACTTTATGCAGGTTTCTTCCCTGCTGTTATCGGTTCTACTGTTTCATGGGGCTTATACTTCTTTTTGTGAGTGCTACATTTGTTCAGAATACATCTTTCTTCATAATTCTTTATAAGCAATAGAGAATGTCTGGCTTAAGAGAACTTGTGACTGAACTTGGAAAATTGAGTTCAGGCTTAAAATGTGAAGAAAGGCTTCTCCTTTTTGTCCTACTTGCACTTTTTTCTTAGGATGTTGTTGAGGTAATAGTACTGTTTTTGATCTCTCCTCTACACATTTCTGTTAGGTCGTGGAGTTTCCGCCTTTTTTAAAAGTGGATCTTGTTTTAATGATCTGAAAGCTGAAACAAATACATTATACCTCTGTAGTTATGGAAGAGCGAAGCAGAGATACTCTAGAGGCAGGGACGATGAGAAACTTAGCCCTGGACTTCACCTTGCTTCTGCTGCTGAAGCAGGGGCCTTGGTTAGTATAACAAACACTACAAGCATCTCATTTCCTCCTATGTTCTTTCGAGTGTGATCTCGAGCTAATGATACTTTCAGGTCTGTTTATGCACAAACCCGATTTGGCTTGTGAAAACAAGATTACAGCTTCAGACACATCTTCATCAAACCCGATACTCCGGGCTATTAGGTATGTGCTACGCTGCACAAATTCAGTCTTCATTTATCTAATGTTCTTTTCTGAGTGTTTCTTTTCTAAATTCCAGATGCTTTTAGAACCATAATGAAAGAAGAAGGACTCAGGGGGCTCTACAAGGGTATTGTCCCTGGTCTTGTACTGGTTAGTAACTATCCTCATCTTTCTCCTGTCATGTCAGTTCATGAAACTACCACAAGATCCACAGATTCTGGAACTATCGAAAAAGATTTTGCAGATTAAATGACTTACAATCGTTTCATTTTGGGTTGATTCTGATTTAATTTCTTCAGCAGGTTTCTCATGGTGCTATTCAGTTCACAGCGTATGAGGAACTCCGTAAAGTCGTTGTAGATTTGAAAGAAAGGAGAAGAAAATCCCAATCCGCTAACAATTTATTGGTACAGGGTTGCTCTTCTTCATAGCTTACATTGAGAGTCATCGGTCATATAGGAACATTAATCTTAATCCCACGTCTTTTTAGCATCACGGATATACTATTCTAATTTCTAACACACTCACTCCCTTTGCATCTTTTTCTCTTCAGAACTCAGCAGATTATGCTGCACTTGGCGGCTCCTCAAAAGTCGCTGCAGTTCTTCTTACATATCCATTTCAGGTTATTCGAGCACGATTACAGGTACCGACAGTTGATGCCTTCAGTCTTATTCTTATTAGCAGCTCAAATCTAAAAAAATTTGAACTTCCTTACTGCAACCTCTGATCTTTAGCAATATTTTAGAAATAGCGTAAACATTCCTCATTTCTTGTTTCAGCAACGACCTAGTACTAACGGAATTCCAAGATATATAGACAGCTTGCATGTCATCAGAGATACCGCGAGGTTAGAGCGTATTCTTGGTCTTTAATTATGTCTGAAACAATGATCTTTTGGTTAGTATCACTAACACACTTGGGTTTCTACAGATTTGAGGGTCTCAGAGGTTTCTACAGAGGACTGACCGCTAATCTTTTGAAAAATGTTCCTGCTTCTTCCATTACATTCATTGCCTATGAAAACGTTCTGAAATTGCTAAAACAATCTCCAACAAAAGATTAGATCTTTCTTTGATTTGACTTGTATCCACAGAAGGGAGACTTAGAACACCCAATTTTAATCATTCTTTTGATATACATATGATACACTGTTGTAGTGTACTGCAGCATTTTAGATGCCTTGGAATAAATTCATGCTACGAAGTTCCAACGATCACGGTATAAAACAACATGTAGTTTGATTATAATTAGTGGAAACGTCATGCGACTCTCTCACTTTTTCAGAAAATAGGTCTTGTAGGGTATGAGCTCCTAGTGTCCGTCATTAATAGGTCTCGCTGCTAGGCCCAATAAGTTTAAAACGGCCCAAATGTTTTTTTTTTAAATATACGCGATATTAGGCGCCGAGTAACTAACGATCCGTATCCAAGTCGATATCATAGTGACT